CAATCAATCCATGCCCCAACCCAGAACCGGTCACGAAGATCTTATCAGAACTTTCGGCGACACTCCATGACACTAGATATGCCGTTGAAGAGCTCGCTCTCGAGCCACCTCTACCAGCCTCAAGCCATGACCGACATCTAAAATTTCTCAAACGTTACAGGGCTTCTCGACTCCTATGGAAAACCAAGGCAGTTATCCAAGACGACGTGTGCGAAATATTTCAAGCTGTTGAAGGATTACTCATCAATCTCGAGCATCATCAAAATCCGAAACCAGGCGAGTCATCTCAGAGCGAATTCCATGGGTCCGATATTATAGATTATCTATTCAACCCTGTCAAATGTAAACAACGTATCAACACAACTTGGGCCAAAATCAGAATAGGTATCGATGGGATAATCGAGTGGTCTAATCTATCTGACTTTGCTGTCCTTCAGAGGGAGTGGCGAAGTTCGACTCGGAAATGTAACCGGATGCTCGAAGCCCTGGGGGAGATTGTCAATGGAACTTATTGGAGGAAAGATGGGAATCGGATGTCGGCCGAAGCGGCTAGCGATCCGAAGAAGGTTGAGGCACACAAAGCTCGGGCTATCCAACTGGCTCAAACGGGAATACCGATCGTGAAATTGGGAAGAATATTTTTTGACAAGCTATCTAAGACCTGCCTCCATCCACTTCCGTTCACGATGGATACAGAGATGAGTTCGGATGAACTGGAATCGCTAGTCAAAAAACTCGAATCATTCTACGCGAGTATCGATTATATGTCCGGACACTTATGCGTCATTTACGAGTCCGATAAAGACATTTCGAGGAAGATCAACTCTCTTAGGAACGTCAGCGAAGGGGTGATCTCGGAACTCGAAGAGGCTTTACTCGCTTTATCCTTCTGTCTCATTCCGACATCCCAAACTCCAACAACTGATCGTCGTCCTGCTTCCGAACAACATTTCAAGACATGGTTCCTCGAGTTCAAAAACCAATTCATCCTTGCTTGTACTAATCTCATAGATGCTACAGATACCTGTTTTGGTGATCAACTGGAACAGGAGTAGGACTTCTAAAGCCAAATTCAAATGAAGTTTAGAAAATTAAATCAAAACACTGATCATGAAATCAATCACTTATGCAATACATATCCAAAATTGACTGAGCTTTTACTTGAACCTATTGATTTTCATGTGTGTTTTGAAAACCAAAACTTCAAACACACTTTTCTCAGCATGCCCTAAAGCAAGTCCCCCATACCTATGAAATGAGTGTTCTTTGAATTATAAATATCCACTTGGAACCCCAGGGTCATTGGGATATCAGACCCACACATGGACTCAGCATGACTAATGGCCACACTGTAACCTCATGATTGAAAATGCTGGATCAAACAACCCCCCCCCCCCCAATATCCCACCTTTTTCTGTTTTATCTGTATGGGGGGGGGGCACAATGCATTACCTGCTTTATAATTGAGAACATCACCAATTTTGTTGGTTGTGTGGTTCCACATGAGTGAGATCACATAAACACCAGAATCTAATCTAAACTGTATGAACAAGTGATGTAAGTGACATGAACCTTGCTAACATTCTTGGTGGAAGTACAGGTAGTGTGGATACTGAACTGATGTTTCTCAACACACAAACCATCCAAAATGAAGCCCAACCAGCCCAGGTTGAAGAGGTTGGGTGCTGTGCTGAAGGATAAGAAGAACAGTGATGGTGGAATGACTCAGGATTTTCCTGGTTGTCCCTCTGATATGGCCAAGGACTGACTGGAGCCAATCATATGGGCTGTTGGGGAGGGGTGGGTAGAGCTTGTAAGATTATGGGGCCAGGGGATCAAGCACCAAACCGCAAAGTGGCCAGGAAGCTGTCACCCAAAGCAGCTGTGGAAAGCTGTAAGCATAGGCTTAAGGACTTTGCTACCCTTTTTCCTGTGTCACAAACTGAACTTCATCATTGATTATTACAGCAATGACAACAGCAAATAGGAAGACAAAAATCCAGAAAACCAAAAGGAGCAGAACAGAAAGTAACTTTATAGGTAACCGTAAGCTTAACTGTTCCTCTTTGAATAGGATTAAAGAAAAAGAAATGCTTACCAAAGCTTTCTTTGTTGCTCTTAGTTGACATCATCAAGACAGGTGGAGAAAGAATAACCAAAGGCCATCCATCAGGAAAAGCCAAAGGCAAGTCTTATCACTTGCTACTGTAGCCGTTAAGCATGGAAGAGGAGCTAACCATTGCTGGTCTATTATGGTAATAGAACAAGGCAACACACTCCTCAGCCGTATTAGCTGAAGGCAGCAGGAACCTGAGATAAGGTCTCACCTTATCAAAGTAATACTGAAATACCTGAGAAGAGAGATTAGAAGATCAAAGAGCTAATTTATCTCATTGCATCTTTCTTACTTGGTTATACTTAACAAAGCAATCAGGAAAAGGCTCATTATTTTCTTCTACTTTTAATGTTAATCTCTTTTTTATATTCTTTCATTACTTCACACCTGCTCCTAGGTTGGTTTATTGTTTGTATCTTATAGAAAACTGTCAGACACTGAGACACTAGCCCAGGTGTCTACAATAGAATGTAACCCCCTTGGGTTACATAACAATTATCATTATATGTAATCTTTAAGTTAATATTTATGAAGTAGTGTTATCCCTTTTTACATGTATTTTTTATGTTAATAATTATTCTGTAAATTAATATAGATTCACCTCTTTATTAATTTACCTCTTCCATGAAAATTATAATCAAGTTGAAAAGGATAATCATCTCCTGGGTGTATCCAAGAGATGATTATCCTATTTACCTCTCTTGTGTGTATGATTATTATGTTTATCTCTCTTATGTGTATTTTCTAAAATAAAGGATATTCAGCACATGTACATTTAGCATGCTCTGAATATCCTGACACTTTCCCCCAAGGAAAAGTGTACCAATAAGGGGACTGCACCGGTCCCAGCAGCAGTTTGACCCCTGCTCTGTAATATTTAAGAGGATGACTCTCCCCCTGACATTCATCCCCCAGACAATATTACCATACAAACCCAACAACCTTACTAAAACATATACTTAGTGAGTGGGGTTTTTTAGTAATACATTATCTACAAAACTTGTTGTACCTTTCTCTTTATCTCATTACTAGTCCTTATAAGTTACCTTATTAACTTATAAGACTAGTACAAACTCTATTCTTCTTACTCCCTTAAGCTCTGGCACAGTGAAGCTCATTCCACTGTTGTCCCTTATTATTATAAGGAGCTAGTCCCTCCACTGTAACAGTGTTGAGTTGGACTTTATTTCCACTGGCCCTCTTGGCTATAGTGTGACCCAAAAACCCTATCAACTCCTGGTCACATAAGAGACCGGAGCTGACAAAAACCTTGACCTTTGTCTAATGAAATAAATCCTAGACTTTTGAATTCCTTCAGAGCTCAAAGGACCACTGAATCCTTGATCAGACACCATTGGTGGTGTCTTGGAAGGCAAGGACAGTGGGAAATCTCAAAGTAGCAGGACTAGAAAATCCTGAATCAGTTTGAATAAGACTTGTGTAAAGAAGACTAAAAAGGCAGCAGCACAACAACAACATTACTTGGAAAACCCAGCCACAACAAAGCAACTGATAATTACTAATATTGTTGACAAGGACAAGGAAAATCTGGCTCAGATACCTAAAGCCTAAACAGCAAGAAAGGAAGAAGCAATAAGTTCAGGCCCAGAAGATTTGTCCCTGGCTGGATTACATGATGAGGACTGGCAACCTGACAGACAGCTCTTTGAAAACAGCAGTGAACTACCAGACCTCTGAAACTACAAAAATTCTCCACCTATCTTTTGGAAGCTTGGTGGCTACCATAATATATTCTCTGCTTGATAATGCAGGGTGTGGGAGGGTTAGGGTTGTCCTCAGATGGTCTGCTGAACTCTCTGCAGAGCTCTGTGATTTCATGTTCTACAGCTTCAGAAGCTGATTGATATCTCCAACACTCTATCTCAGACTACTAGGAGCTACACCACCAGGACACTTTTTGCTCCTCCGGGGCGTTGACACAACGTCAAACAAAAATGATGGGTCGGGTTGACCAAGCGGTCGAGTTGGCGCAGGTTTGTGCGTCACACCGCAGTTGGCCTGACCAGCCGGTCAGCCTGCCTGGTGCAAATCGGTCAGGCTGTCGGTTTGGTTGGAATGGTCAACCGACGGCTTTCCACACCGGCGGTTGTCGGCCAGCCGCCCAATCCTTGACTGTCCGGGGGCAGGCTGTCATCAAGTGTCATTTAGACACCCGGCCTCCTGACGACAGCCCCCCTGACCCATGTACGACCGACGGTTTGCCGAGGCCATCACCGTCAAGCCTCCGGCAATTTGACCCAAGCTCAGCCAGGCTCTAGATTTGGTCAACCGCTGGAGACCAGGTCTGACAGTCCTGCCAAACCAACGAGATGCCGTCTCGAAGAGGCTTGCCAGGGCGCCTCATGAAGGTTGCGGTTGGGATGACCCATGCAGAGTCGTCGGCTTGACGTTGGGTCACCCCATTTTATGACAATTCACAATTGTCTCAGTGTTTTTCTTTTTGGGTGAGAGGTGGAGAAAAATTGGTATGAATTTGTTTTTTTTTTTTTCCAAAAAAATGACTTAGAGAAAAAAAAACAGCTTGCATATGGAGGTTGCGGGATGAAACATCCCTCTTGGACGTATCTAACACCAAGTAGGCCTGGCCAAGCAGTCAAGAACATCACTAATATGTGAACATGATGGGTGTCATCTTGAGATCGAGTCCGGTGGTCAGCATAAATTTTTATGGCTCCGCCTGCACAAGAGAGAGCCCAAATTTTTGCTTCTCACGGCAGAGCCTGCAGCTGTCAATGCGGGGTCCAAATCTCACGGACTGATGACAGCAATGTAGGCGAGTTGTGGGCAGGGAACGGTCGGGCTGACTGTAAACCTCTTGAATCCATAATCTCAGGACCGCTCATGGCCCTGAGATAATTATTGGATGTCGGCGGCTTATCGTCGGGCCACCCACATCCCGCCCGGTGGACATGGGTCAACACCCCGACCACGCCGACCCCCTGGCTTCAAAGCTGCCAATTTGACGTCGGCAGACAGGAAGGTTTGGCTGGGTCGGCGGAGGTCGGTTCGTCCGTCAAGATACCGGGCGGGTTGCCGTCGAGATGCACCCGTGGTGTATTTCCATTTCTGATCCTCCAATCCCAAAACTCCCTAAGACTGAAATTTGTAATAATAATGATAGTAAGATGGCGAGACTGATTTCTCTTTGCAAGGTGAAAAAAGCTTGGATTCACCTGGGTGTTTATCCGGATGTAGGGGCCTGGGGATGGGCCCCCTCCATCCGGATCAACACCCACGGGCTCCATGTAGCCTCATCCACTCGGCGGCCCCGAGGTGAGCACTAGCCAGCTGACGTTGGATCGAGTACCGGGAAGTGCGTTCCGGTGCACTGAGGAGGAAGATTGCACTTAACGGACCACTTCCCGAGCCGATCTCGTCAGGTTTCACCGATTGGCCGTGGTTCGTCGGATCCACCACAATCCGGAGCTGTCAACACCGCGGTGACTATTTGGTGTCTCGGCCGATAAAATAAAACTGCCGTCATCTGGACATCCGATTCGAGCTACTTACGTACTCCGTCGCCGGCCGATGTGAGATCGAGTCAAGTCCGGCCGATGATCGCTCGCGAGAGGTGGGTGATGAGTTGAACTTGATGGGCCGCTATAGGAAGTCAGTGGGTTTTGGAATGGGTATGTCATCTCTATTACGTAATACAGTCGCCCCATCCGTTTTGGTAGGTTTTTCTTTTTTTTTTTTGGTTTAAAGTCAGATCGATCATCGAGCCTTATCAAGCCTAGTACACTCGACCCACCACTCCACATCACTTACTTTACTTTACTTTGCTTTGCTTTACTTCTTTAGAAGGAAGGCCGCCTCAAGAATATTTAATAGGGAATCACTCAAGCCTCTGAGTCAGCCCACACCAGTCCAGTGATCCTTAGTCATCCACATCCCATCCAACTCCGCCATCATGTCAGACCTTCCTCCTTATGCTGTCACCACTCAAACACTACCAGTCTCCAACGAGTCCCCCATCGACCTCAACCATCAATCGATCGTAAGCGCTTACTCCCTCACAGTTGAGACGTATTGGGATATATATTCAAACCTCCTTTCTTTTTCCTCTTAACACAGGAGATTCCCGGGACTCGAAAAGCAGGCCAAACTGGGCATTATCGCAATGCTCTGTTCCCTAACTTCACCACCGTCGAGACTCCTGACAAAAAATTCCCTCGCACCGATTGTAAGTCCATGGATCAACAAAAAAAAAAAAGAACTGCCCCCATTTTTTGGTCTTGTCCTCAAGCAAACACTGATCAGAGTTCTTGTATTGCTTTATTTGTGGAAATGAAGATGAGGTATTCAATTTCGGACTGGGACGATCTTACAACAAGCCATGTCTTGGCCACCGACCCATCAACCCAGTCACCGGAGAGCTCGAACCGTTCTTCGTCTGGCAGAGCTATAAGGATGTCGATCGAAGACGGACCGAGTTTGGGAGCGGTATGATGCACCTCCAAGCCGAGGGTAAACTGGGCACTTCCGATCGCACGGGATGGACTGTTGGGATTTGGACTCACAATCGTCCTGGTCAGCCGTCTCTTTCTTTCTTACCATCTATACTGCTCATTCCTCTATCTATGTAGTTTCTAACTTGGATTTCTTGTAACAAAAATCAGAATGGCAAATTGCGTCACATGCTTGCGCAGCTTACTCGCTCGTAGTCATCTCGCTCTACGAGACCCTCGGCCCGACCGTTGTGGAATACTGTATCAACCATTCCGAAACTCGCCTGGTCCTCTCATCCGCATCTCACATTCCTGACCTGCTACGAAACGCCCATGCCACGCCGTCTTTGAAGGTCATCATCTCGGCCGATAGATGGCAAGATCTCCAACCGGTCGAGCCCAAAACCGTCTCCGCCGGTGATCAACGCCGCGCCCTCAAGAGTTGGGGTGAACAGCTCGGCATCAGTATATATGACATTGAAGAAGGTATGTGGATTTGAGTTTTACTTTCACTTCTCTTTCTCCCCCAGTTTTCTATGAGAAGAAAAGTCTGTTTACTGAATTAGCTGTATGATCACCTCTTAGTTGAAGCTTTAGGTCGTGCCCATCCTACCGCTCACATCCCTCCTACTCCCGACTCAGTGAACTCGATCTGCTACACATCTGGGACGACCGGCATGCCCAAAGGGGCTGTATTACTCCATCGCACCATTACGGCCGCATGCGTGGGTAACCTGCATGGCTCAGCTTGGGCTGGCGCCGAAGATATTTTCCTTTCTTACCTCCCGCTCAGCCACATCTTTGAACGCTTTTTTGAGGCTATTATATTAGGTTAGTCAAGCATCTGCTCTTTTCTGAGCCTCTATAAGCTCGCACTGATCAAACATCACTATTTTCTTCACTTGGCATTACAGCAATTGGGGCACCGATCGGGTATTCTTGCGGTGACAACTTAAGATTGCTCGAAGATGTCCAAATCCTAAAACCTACCATCTTTCTCAGGTGGGTATTTCTGATGGCTATTTTGTCTTTGACTTAAGTATAAGCAGGAACTTGATCGAAATTCCCATGTGTTATTTGTTTTAAGTGTACCCCGAGTGCTGAACCGAATCTACCAGGCCGTATTAGCACAACTCGATGGGCCAGGGTTCAAAGGCAGCTTAGGCCGAAAAGCGTTACAGACCAAACTCCAGAACTTGAAGACTACCGGCAGCAACACTCATTTCTTATGGGACCGTTTGGTTTTCAACAAGGTCAAACAGGCCCTCGGTGGCAGAGTCCGGATCATTGGGTCTGGCTCGGCGCCGATTTCTCCAGATGTGATCTCGTTCCTCAAGGTCGCTTTCATCACTCAAGTCGCCGAAGGATATGGCTCGGTAAGTGGATTTTCATGGTTCTCACTACAAACTTCCTTGTGCAGCTCCTGATCTGGTTTATTGGCAATCCGGCTTTGTACCCACAGACCGAAAACTCAGGCACATGTACAAAGTGCTTTGGTGAAGATATGGAACCCAATGGGACTGTTGGTCCCCCACAAGCCGGACAGGAAATCAAATTGGTAGATGTACCAGACATGAAAGTAGGTCTGTCCTTGCTATGCCCCGCGCGAATGTCAAGAATTGCGCCGCTAATGAATTCCACATTGGGTCTTGATGACTTCAGTATTTCTCGACCGATAAACCTTTCCCTCGAGGTGAAATCTGTGTGCGAGGAGAAGCTTGCATTCCTGCCTACGTGAGTAGAAAGTATGAGCCGGATGAGAGAGGAAGAGAAGATGCTGAAGAGTGGTTGGTCTTTGATCTAGTACAAGGATGAGGCGAAGACCAAGGAGTTGATCGATTCTGAAGGATGGCAACATTCCGGAGATATCGGGCTGATCGATGAAAAGGGTCGATTCAAGATCATCGACCGGATCAAGAACTTGGTCAAGCTGGCCCAGGGCGAATACGTGGCTCTGGAGAAGGTCGAGGGGGCCTACTCGGTCAGTCCTCTGATCAGCCAGATCTACCTCCACGGCGACTCTCTCAAGTCCTACTTGGTTGCCGTCATCGTCCCCGAACCGCCTGTCTTCCAAGGTATGATATTGTTCCCTGTCTCTCATCAAGGGGAGCCTTCTACTTAAAGTCACTCCGATCATTTTTTTTTGTATGTTGCAAACAGAGCTTGCAAACAAAGTGACCGGACGGGTCTTGCCGCCTGAAGAGGCGTGTTCATCCTTCGAAGTCAGACAGGCCGTCTTGAAAGAGATGGAAAAAACCGCAGCCAGTGCCAAGCTCTTGGGCTTCGAACGCATCAAGAATATCCATTTGACGATGGAACCATTCTCGGTGGAAAACGAGCTATTGACGCCAACTTTCAAGTTGAAAAGGTACACAAATCGATTTTTACTTTTTTTTTATAACTCTCTTTGTTCTACTTCATCTTGTGTGCTTACTCGAATTTTGGGGTGGTTTGATTGGCGGCGGGACTTTTTTTGTTTTTCAAGGCCGGTCGCAAAGACTAAGTACGCCGATGTCTGTCAAAAGCTCTACGAGGAACATGACGCCAAAGGCGGCGAAATCAAGATGAAGCTTTGAGGACATCAACCATCCTCTCATCACGTTATACAGTTCACTCGACATCAAAAAAAAACAAAACAAATCTGACACTTTCTTTCAAGCTTTTTGGTGATGGACAATCAATCCTCTCAGGACTACTGTTGACTTGCATTTCCCCTTGCTCTCTCTCTCTTTCTTCTATGTTTTGTTTTATCAAGCTTCTCTCCGCATCTGCAATATTCTTCTTCCTCCCTTCCTCTCTCTCTTCAAAGTATATATATATACATATAGAGCATCTTTTTTTTTGGTTTTGGTTTCGTTGGCTTCATTTGTTCTCGATCAGCTCCCTTCTTTCTTCTCCTCCTTTTTTCCCTGTCAGGTGCCCAGTCTTCCTTGATCTTCTGCTTCCTTTGTCGTCTACACCCTTACATACTTTCTCCCACTTTTTCATGTTGTTCTTATACATATATATATATAACTTACCTAAAATAAAACAATCAATCAATCCAAAAAGAAAAACAGAATCAAAAAAAAAATTGAAATGTTTTTTTCTGCTCTCAATTCTACAAACCTTGTGTATTTTATCTATGTTGCTCTCCGGGTCACCTCCAGCTGCTCCCTTCCTTCCTCCCTTCCTCCCTTCCTCCCTTCCTTCCTTCCTTCCTTCCTTTTTTGTTCTTATTTGAAGAAAAAACAATAGATGTGATGGGTTCTTTTGAGCCTTAACATCTCATCTCATCATCCCATTCATTCATTTTTTTTATTTGAATGATTGAGTTGTGTGGTTACTAGAAGAACCTTGCTTCTTTTCTTTTTGGGTTGAGGGGGTAGAGCAATGGTGGGCTGCTATGCTACACTACTGAGCATAGTGTGGTGCTAACAGTGGCCCCTTTTTTGTGTAGTGTTAATGCACTGTTACTGGCACTATGCTACACTAATTTTTAGTGGCACTAACAGTGGCTTTTTTGTGTAGTGTTAGACCATCTCTAGCGGTCCGGGGGACAGTTGACTTGTGTTCCCTGGCCTGCGACCACATCTCACAGGGGTCGTCGCAGTTCAGCTCCAATTGTGGACTGGCACTGTGAGTGGCTGTCCAAGCTACATATCATCCACCACACTCAATGATCTCATCATTCCTTTTCTTGTTTCTCTTTCTTGCTTGTTTACATTTTTCTACCTCTTGATTTCTGCTATCTCGCTTTTTTATGCTCTGTAATAGGTAAAAATAAAATGAATTTGTTTGTATATAAAACAAAGAATTGAAATCCAATTGTAAAAAAAACTAGAGATGGTCGCTTCAAATCTGGATGTCCGTGCGGTGTAGGACTCCTGGGACAGATAGACACGGTAAAGTATATGTATATAAAAAAGATCCCTTGAGGGGGGAATAAATTGCAAATAGGTTGAAAGGCTATTACAACTTACAGGTGGTTTGAAAGACCTGCCCCTCTAATTGTACTAAACAGATAACTAAGAGTCTTGTAATCAATATTTAATAATATGCGGCTGATTCCAAGATAGATCTGACTTTTGTAAAGTAATCTCTATCAGACTTAGATCACGTATCAATCTACTAATCCACTTTTCACCCGCCTTCCCGACACCTGCGTACTGTAGACTACCATACCTCTTGTATGGAGATCTACAGCGCGCGGGTCTGGGAAAAAGAGAGGGGAGGAGAGGGCTTAAGGGCTCCCTGACTTCTCCCCCTCTGGCCGGGTAAGGCATGTGGAAAGTGTGGTTTATTTCACAAGTTCACAAAATGCAAATGCTTGAACACAAAGCCCACAGTCGGGGACGCAAGCAAGGGGTGCCTGATCTGTGAGAGAGAATCCCCCAATCGCCCCTTCCATACGCATACGCTCAAACCCAGCTAAAAATAAGGTGAAAACTAAGATACCCTAAGCCATCCTCAACCAGTTTTGTTTAAACTGTTGAAGAAGAATTTTCGTCTTCTTCAAATCACCCGTCAAGTATGGTCTGATGTACAATTTGAAAGAGTCCAAGCGCCACCGCCCTAGAGCGCAGAGGTCGCCTTGCGTCATTCCTAAGGTGGATCTGAGAGATGCTCCACCGACTCTGAATGAATGTCCTTTTATGCCGTGGAAACCACCACTCGTCAGCACCTCTTCTATCCGTGTGGCCGTTTGGTGTCTGGTTAAGTGTGCTCGGTCTACCCCGGCCCTGTATCCAAAAAGAGATGTTTTTTCTCCGGCCACGGAGGATAACCGGCGTCTAATAGCCATGAACGGTGTGGGATGC